GTGCATTGTGGGAAGTGGATCAGTGGTTCCGTCAGGTCTTCTGGGTTTGAGGTGGTGCTCCTGCAGCTGCTCCATCTGATGAGAGTCTGGAGCTCTTTGTCATGTTCCTCCAGTTGTTCCAAAGCAGCTCCAGAGGTCGTGTTGTCCTGCTGAGGGATGGTCTGTGTGTTGGACTGACGTGAATGTCTGGACCTGAAGCTGACCAGCGGAGCGTCCAGTCGCAGACAGACTTCACCTGTAAACTCTGATGGACTCAGCAAAAAGTAACGCAACACTTCAGACGACTTCTAATCAAGTTACTGAGTTACAGGACTTATCTGTTCCTCTACGATCACAAGTGTTTCTAGCTACGGGTCTGAAGAAGTCTGAGTTTAAATCCCACATTCAGTTTGCTTCATTCTAACCAGATCACGCTGCAGGTGGATCAGTGGTTAGCACCGTGGCCTCACAGCTAGAAGGTCACCGGTTGGCGTCCCGGTGAGGACACCCGGGATCTTCCTGCGTGGAGTCTCCATGTTCTCCCCGTGCAGCGTGGGTTCTCTCCGGGTTCTCCGGCTTCCTCCCACAGTCCAGAAACATGCTGAGGTTAATTGGTGATTGTAAATTGTCCGTAGGTGTGAATGTGAGTGTGCTTGGTTGTCTGTCTCTAAGTGTAGCTCTGTGATAGACTGGTTACCTGTCCAGGTGAACCTGCCTTCACCCTGAGTCAGCTGGGATAGGCTCCGCCCCCCATGACCCTGGTGAGGATGAAGGTGTAGAGATGATGGATGGATGGATCTTGACCTACGTGGTGGGAACAGTTCCTTTACATCCCTTTGCAGCTTGTGGCTGGTTGGTGTGAACGTTCTCTGGTTTGTGTGCAGGTGGTTCAACAAACATGGAGGAAATCGGTTTGAGGATTGTTTCACCTCCTTATGGACCAAACCAGCACTGGGTCAGCTGAGCAGAGGATCAGGAGACCTGCTGATGATGGACATGATCAGTAGCTCAGCCTGAGTCGGATGTCTGACACTAATCCTTTAAAAAAGCAACAACTTCTGCACTTTCAGGAAAATGCTCCGAGGATCTGGATTCCTAAATCCACCGTGTGATGAGTGTTTCATGTGGGCAGGTTCTCAGTGGAGGTTATCATCGACTGTGTGGATGCTCTAAACCGTCCCACTGACAAACATCAGACCACCCTGAGGCCCACACACACAATCCTTCTCTCTGTTAGAAAACACTTGAGTGGTTGTCGTGACCTCTTCACCCTGAGCAGAGTCTGTCAGGTAGAGGAACCACCTGAAGCATGACAGACTGCTGGACCTGCAGCCACTTTGTGTTCTCTCACTGACAGCTGACTGGCAGCTGTCAAGGAGCTCCATCCTGCTTTTCCTCCACCAACATGTCTGGTTCTGTTTCTGACCTTAGACGCTCTGCAGACGGACACACAAAGTGTTGAGTGGCAGCGAGACGAGGATTTAGAGTCTGGTGATGGATGTCAGAGGTAACCATGGTCTGAAGCTTCTTCTGTTGCTGAACTTTGAACTCACAGTTTGGACTGAAGGACTCAAATTTATCAAAGTGCTGGAAGTAGAACGTTGGACTTTGGTTCCAGGTCCTTCAAGTCCACAGAGGAGGGTCCAGATTGATCACCTTAATGGACTTTTTCCATCATTTCTGAGCCTCAGAACTTCATCAGTACAGCAGATAGACACATGACATTTAGGAGGAAGAACACATCTGGGTTCTGCTAGAACCTGACACCAGATCAGTTCTACATCCATCCAGGTGTCTCAGTCTGAACACTGGACCTGGTAGAAACTGACACCGTTCACTCTGTGGAAAGCTGTTTTCTAATGTAGTCAGTCTTCATGTAATAGGTTCAGCTTTACTGATGGATGGATGATGGATGGATGATGGATGGATGATGGAGGCAGTGAGTAAACAGCTGAAGTGGCCTCTTCAGCGGCTCTTCTTGGTCCAGTGTTGCAGCCTTTAGTGACCTCTGACCTGCCGCCTGTCGGTCCAGCAGAGGGGCAGCTGAGAGTGAAGGTGGAGTGGGACAGCTGACGGTGTTTTAGCAGCTTCGTCCTCGTCTGTAGCGATGAACGATCCCAGGTTCTGTGTGTTTGGGTCCAGATCGGTCTCCTCCGTAGCAGCAGCGTTGCATAATCCTCGGCTCGGAGTGTAAACATGATGAATCCTGGGTGACCCTGACGTTTGGCCATTAGGAGCAGGAACACTGCAATTCCCCCACGGTCCCAAACAAATAAATCCTCAGCACAGCCGGAATAACCATTAACAAGTCTGCTAAACAGCGAGCTGAGGACGGAGGGATGGAAAGTATGAAAGGGGATATGAAGGTGGACAGAGAGAGGAGGAGGAGGCAGAAACACCAGCATAGTTCACAGACAACCTGGAAAAGTCCAGAAAGAAAGTAAAACAGAACACATGACCAGATTGTAGATGAAACATGGAGTTTGACATGTACTACTGTGTAAACGCAGTCTGACCAAACACCAGAAACAACAACAAACACTGGTTGTTAACATGCAGATTGTTTATCTGTGTTTCCAGTTCAACCAAACAGTAAAACACCAGTAAAGCTTCTAAAGATCCAGTTCAAAGGGCCACGCTGGTAGAAGTAGGTTAAAGAAGACGGAGCCGAGGATGATGGAGGGACAGAACCGTCAGGAGAAAGCAGAGCAGCATCGGTTTGTTTTGGTCCGCAAAAGAATGGCAGGAAGCAATAATGTGTTTGTGTGGAGGAGGAGGAGGTCACGGCGAGGTGAGGAGGAGGAGGAGGAGGAGTTCAGACGGAGGTGAACTCAGACCTGCTGCTCCTCAGAGCTCAGGGTGAATCCAGGGTCAGGTGTGTGTGTGGAGACGTTGCTCGCTTCCATTTCCACCAGCCGGGTCCTCCATCAGTCCACCTTAAATCCTCTGCATCGCACAGGATCAGTCCACCTTAAATCCTCTGCATCGCACAGGATCAGTCCACCTTAAATGACTTCACACACGTTTTACAGCATTAAATGTGGATATTTATTGATATATTGATATATTTACACCAGTCATTTGAGATGCTGAGTTGTAAAGCTGCCCGTAAACCCTCTGGTGGACGTTTGTTGGTTTTTGTCTCCATTTTGTCGTTTTGTTTAACTTTTGTAGTTTTTTTGTCTCATTTTTGTAGTTTTGAGTCAAATCCCCACATTTTTAGAAGCGACTGAGCGCGACCATCTCTGATTGGTCTGAACGTTGTGCAGCATCGAACACGTGTGGATCATAAATATTTAAATACTTTCACATAATGAATTCTTATGCTGCTGTTGAATCACTTTCAGGCTGTTTGAACAACATGTTAGAAACCACTACAGATAAAAACAGTGAATCGTTTTATTCTCATCATGTCCTCATTTAGAATCTATAAGGCTGCAAACTGCACATGTGGATCATTTTAGTGTCTCGTTCTTCCATCCCGTGTGCTGCTGATCTGCTCCTTATCCTCTGATCTCTGCCACCTCCTCCTCTCCTCCTCCTCCTCCTTTGTTCTCTGGTGAGAAGTGAAGACGTCCTGACGGTGATTCCAGATCAGAGATCTGCTATCTAACGGCTGAATCACATCTCGGCTTATCGCTCCGCCGCCCTCCTTCCTTTCAGGGTCAGTCACTGTTAAGTTCTGATCGCTCCTCGATACGGGTCGGCAGCAGCAGCTCCAGGCCTGATCCTGATTATCAGGTATCGGTGATGTTGTGCTTCATGTAACCGCCCCGCTGGAGGATCATCGGGTCAGAGCTCGCTGTGCCGAGGTGAAGTCGAGGACAAGAGGGGAAGGAGGGATCAGACCAAGGAGGCAGGAAAGGAAGGAAGGAAGGAAGGAAGCATTGGTCTTGTCGTCCAAAACACATTCAGGACACGTCCTGTTTTCAGGAAGCAGTCGGACTGTAGCGCTCTGATTAATCAGCTAATTAATGAACATTTTCTAGATTTACTGGTATTTACAGATTGTCTCTGTTTGGTTGAATCTAACCACTGCGTCAGTAACTAGTACTTTAACCAACAGTAGCTAGTCAACAGGCTGATGCTGGTAGAACCACACAAACAACCTGAACCGTAAACCAGAACCAGCTCTAATGGCCCAGTACGTACACGACATTCAGGGAATTTGGTTCCGGCTCTGGGAATGAGCAGTACGGTCAAAATAAGTACAGAAAGAAAAAAATACAATCAATAATAATAAATAAAATCAGATAAACATATAGAAGAATATAGACATCTAGCAGAACCAAACCGGCTCCAGTAAGGTCCACATCAAGCTTTATGTTTTAATCAGTCATCAGTTCTTATCCAAGGTCTGACTGTAAATCCGTGTTTCTGTATGTAAATGAGCAGCACAGCAGATTTATTTCAGTTTGTATGGATCATATTAGCAGTTTGTGAACGATAAAGTCTTCCTTGTTGTTGACCGAGCACCCTGCTGCCACTCGCTCTGGTTTATCGTTGACTACCTTCCCTACCGTCCAGCTGGTTCCACCTCCAGCGTTTAAACTCCTCGTGGATCCTCTCCGTCCTCTTTGTGTTCCTTCGCTCTTATCTATCATCTCCTCTCCATCTCCAGCCTGCTTCCCCACATGTGGTTTTGCTCTCCTCTCTCATCCCTCGCTCACATATGGTTTGTGTCTGAGTGTTTGGTGTTACCCAGAGTTCACTGGGGCTCCGGCTCTGCCTTCGTCTGCAGATCAGGCTTTCCTGCCCGGACCTGCTCCTCGCTATCTGTGCGAGCTGGAGTTCAGCAGGGCAGCGGCGGGTTATGCAACACTCTGAAATGTGGGTCGCTGCTCTGGTTCTGGAGTTTATTTAATCGAGCAGCGCCCTCAGGATCCATAGCGTCACCGTGTTTAGTGCTTCCTCCATACTGTGAATGTGTACAGCTATAGAGGCGCTGCTGCTGCTGCTGCTGCACTTTAATGTGGTGTGAAAGACGTGAACCTCTAACCTGCTGCTCCGTCTCCTCCCAGTTACTAGATCTGTTCACCCAGTGGGACTGGTCCACCTACCTGGCTGACTACGGCCGACCCACCTGTAAATACCTGAGAGTGAACCCTCACACTGCCCTGGCCCTGCTGGAGAAGTGAGTCACCATTCACTCATCCATCCACTCACTCATCCATTCATTCTTCTTCATGGGTCTCTCACTTTCAAATCAAACATTTGTGGAGGTTTTTATTGTTTGTAGCTCGAGGTCTGAGTTTGGGAAACATTTTATTAATGACAGGAGTCACTCAACACTTTGGAGATATGTACTCGATTAATACACAAGTAAAAGTATGTGATATTTTTAATCAATAGCTTCTTAACGGTTAGTTTTACTGCATTAGAAACAGTCAGAACAAAGCTCCTCCTGCCTGCTTTACTCTGTAGTTTCATTAGCTGTAACTGGTTCTGACCCACCACGTGAAAGCAGGTCAACGTAGACAATCAGACACATCAGGTCATATTTACTGAAGCTGGAGTAAAAACAAAAGTTATGCACGGAAGGACAAGTACCCCCGAAAAGCATATTTATAGTAACTTTGACCTGAACTCTGAGTGAGACGCTGGTTAGCCTAGCTTAGCATACAACCGCTGGACGCAGCTAGCTTAGCGGTATCCAGCCTGAAGTTCACTGTGTTTTATATTTAAGTGACAGTTTAAGGGTTTCAGTAGAAAGTTTTTTACATCTTGAAAACCCTCAGAAATGTGAGCAGCAGGTGTTCATGAAGCAGCTGTGTGGTGGTCGATGCTACGTCTCTGTACTCTGCTCATGTTATTGATGCTGCTGGTGGGTTAGGGTTACTGCTCACATGTAAATCTGCTTCAAAAAGCCACTTTAGAAAGTTAAAAAAAAACTAGTTTAGAGTCAACAAACCAGACAAGTGTTAACGAGTGAGGCTACCTAGCTGCCCCCCTTCCTCCAGGCCTAATGCTAAGCTAGGCTAACCAGTGTAATGTTGAACTGTTGCGAGCCTCCATCCCTCAGAGCTTCGTCCTCGTCTCAGCGGCTCTGTTCTGTCCCTGCAGGTTGCTGAAGCCGTGAGTATCGTCTCTGAGTGGTTCTGTTTGTCTCATCAGTAGCCGTGTGGGATTTATAGAAACAAACTGGTGTGGTGATGATGTTTATTGATGTTAACAGTTATCGCCATGGCAACACCCACATCCACCACCACAGCAGCGTGATGTAAACACTGATAACACACAGCCTGCATGAGCACAGTGTAGTCTGCTCTACACACTAACAGCAAGCAGAGCTCTGCTCCATTGTCATGTACAGTTCATTAGAGCCGGCCCGGTGGTCTGCCGCTGCCCCGGAGGAAGCACCCTGCTGGGGCTGGTCCGGTCTGCTGGGCCCAGAACCTCCTGGACATCCGTCCATCTCCAGCGTTCTGCAACCAAACACAAAGACACACCTGCTGAGACTGTGACAGACTTCCAGAGTGGTGTTCTGTGTGTCTGGACCCGTGCATGCTGGTTCCTGAATGCATCACATGACCTACTGACTGATGTCTGTCTGTATCCTGTTAACCCTCTTTCTCCAGTAGAAGGTATCTGGACATCTGGTTGGTTCTCCTTCAGGCTGGCTGCTGGAGGTCCAGGTGTTTATGGTCACATGACTCCAGGTATGACTGTTGGTTAAACTGCTGAGGAGGGACTCATCCTGTGTAGCTAGTGAGTGTTGGTGTTTGGTTGTTTCATCCTCACTGGACCAGTCTGTTACTCAGAGTGTTGCTGGATCTGTGGGGGTTCTGGTTCTGACCCAGTAGTTCCCTTAAAGCCTAGCACTCTGGCTGGTGAAGACCCAGCTTGATTGCTCAATGACTGTAAAGCATTTGGTCATTTTTAAAAGTTAACACTGGACTGGAACCCTCCACAGACGGGCCTGGGTCCTGGTCCACTGTGAGGATCAACAGCTGCTTGTGTGGGCATGTTGTGATGTTGAGTGTGGCTGATGTCTTCTTGGCTGTATGAACTAAACACATCCAAGAAAACATCCTGCCTGAAGTTGTAGGTGGACACAGTTTGACAGGACTGATGAGGTGATCTGGGTTTAGTTCCTGTATCACTACAGCACCTCAACATCAACGATCCTGTCAAACTGTGTCCACCTACAACTCCTCTACAGCAGGGGGGTCCAGTCCTGGTCCTCAGTCCTGCATGTCCAAGAGGTGTCCCTCTTCCAACACACCTGATTCCAATGATCAGCTCATCATCAAGCTCTGCAGAACCCTGATGACCATCCTGATCATTGGAATCAGGTGTGTTGGAAGAAGGAAACATCTAAATTTAAACATGCAGGACTGTGGCCCTCGAGGACCAGGACTGGACCCCCTGCTCTAAAGTGTCAGCTGGTCAATGGCACTGCGTGGACTTGAACCGGGGACCTCCACCTTCAGAGCCGGACTCCTTCCACGTCTCACCAACTCCATGCAAGTAACTCAAGAAAAGATAAGAAGTACTTGACATGAGAGCTGCATGCAGTCACTTCATTCAGAGAAACACAAGCTGCTCGCTCCTCCAGAGGCTGCTGTCGGTGGTGAGATGTGGAAGGAGTCCGGCTCTGGAGGAGAAGATCCACGGTTCAAGTCCAGGCAGGGCAACTGGGGACTGAGAGGCAGTAGGAGGCTGAGCTGTTGGGGAGATGATTGTTTAGTACAGTCAGGCATTATGGGATGTTGTGTATGAACTAAACATCCCATAATGCCTGACCGTACCACTCAACTTTCAAACTTTGTCTCCCCGACATGCCAGTAGTCCAGCCTCCTACTGCCACCTCCCCATCAGACCAGGGACACGGTGTGGACCGGAACCAGACTTGTTACAGTCCTGACGTCCCTCCTCAGGCAGTTTAACCACCGTGAGTCCTACACCTGGATCTCTTCAGCTGTGTCATGAGTTGAAGGTGAAACATCTCCAAGAACCAACCAGAAGCCCAGCTAGGTTCTCCTGCATCACGTGACCACTGACCTCTCTGACTTCCTGTCTGCAGGATGAGGGAGACGAGCAGGAAGAACAACGTCTTCGCCCAGTTCAGGAAGACGGACAGAGACCGGCAGAAGCTCATCGACACCGTCATCAAGCAGCTGCGGAACCTCATCGCTCAGCACCACACCTGAGAAAGACGCCTGATTGGTCAGCGAGCCTGAGGCCACCGCCCACTCCCATCTGTTCAGCCACTAACCAACCAGAGGCTCCTCTACGCACCTTAACTCAACGAGCAGTCCAAACCTGAACACGAGCTCCAGCCGTGCAATCTGATTGGTTATTTCAAATTGACATGCTGCCACCTGCATCAGAACCCAGTGGAGCCCCCTACGGGTCAGGGTGACAAGCTTTGGTGATGTTTCTTCCAATGTGCTTCAGAACTCCCTCCACGAGGACCAGCTGGTGTGTTGGTCCCGTTCAGAGCAGTAAACTGGACCAACACGCCAACTGGCCCCACTGGGAGGAAACCACCATCCCCAGCTTCTCACCGTGACCCTCACAGGCCTCCGTACAAACCTGACATCAGCTCCTCCTGCTCGACTAACACTAACAGCCCAGTGTCACTTCTACACCTCTAAACGTGTTAATCCGCTGCTGAAAATAGTCCCCAGTGCATCCAGTGAACTCCTGTCTAACGTTTGTGACAATAAGCAGCTCGAAGTAAACCACATATAAACATGACCAGTGGAGGCAAACGCTGTGTTCTGTTGGTTCTGGTCTGAAGTGTGTCACTAACCTCCTGCTTCACCTTGAACCCGTGTGATCTGGTCTGGTCCTGGAGGTGTCTCCCCTGTGGAGAACAAGAAGGTAGAGCTCTGAAACACTGATCCAGGAAGCTGCAGCAGTACCACATGTTTCTACATCTGCATGGTTCCTTTTAGCTCCAACTGTGTACCAGAGTCTTAGTCAGTTTTCAGTAGGAACTCCTATTTTTGTGCCATTTTTCTTCCCGGGCCGGGCCGGGCCGGCCCAACCCAGCCCAGCCCTCTACGTCTTCCACGTCGCTGTCCGTCACTGTGGTGGAGCTACAGGATGTATGAATGTACGTCACACTCGTCTTCTAAGCAGAACCTACCGGTGGCGGATGAACAGAATGTCGCTGCAGAATCCTTTATCTTCTAACCACGGGGGCCACGACATGGCGACCCGGCTCACTATACAACCTGCAAACACTTGAACGGGCCACACCTGGCGACCTCGGGTCACCACGGAGAGGGTTTGGGTGGAGGCTCCTCCCTCCTCCATGATCCGAGGCGTCACGTTGTCTGAGCGTTCTCTACTCGTTCTGTAGAGGTAACTGGGTCTTAAAGAGGGAAAACGCTCCAACCTGGCAGCCGCCGTGTCCAGGCTTCAGTGGGCCTGTTGATCAGAGACTGATCGTACTAATGCTGAGCACACATCCTGTCTTCCATTAACACGAGCAGCGCTGTGTGTGTGTGTGTGTGTGTGCAGCTACATGAGTTAACCGAAGCACAACTTCACTACTTTCACACTAACGGGGTCTTTCTGTTCTGAACCTGGGTGCAATAACTAACAAAGTGTGTGTCTGTGGCTTTGTAAAGGGATTCGGACCCACCGAGGGTCTGCAGGGGAATGTTTTAGTTTTGTATCCTTTGCTGCGTTTCATTGGTTAGAAAGGGATCAGGGCCGCTGTTGGATGTGCCTTTGCTGTATTTAGTTGTTTTTCCTGCCAACAGGGCAGCGACACTCTGCTGCTCAGCCTCTGGACGGAGTTTACTCAGTGACACACCATCAGTGGTCCTGGAGCTCCAGGACTTTGGTCATTCCACAACAAACATCACCCAGAATCTGTATGGAGCGACCTTCTGGCTGTTTTCAAAGTGGTTTCAAACACTTACATTGAGAATTACCTAGAATTAAAATATTTAAGAGATTTAAAACACTTTACTCCCTATCGTGTGCACAGCCCACCGACTACAACAGAACCTCTGACGATGGGACCTGCAGAGCAACATGAGTCCAGAGTCCAGCTGCAGATTGTCGCTGCTCTTTGTTTAGTATTTTTTAAAGCAGATGTTGAGACAGAAGCGCTGTTCACGCTGTCATATTAAACCACTAATGAATGAAACGAAATACTAATAAAGTTCTGACGAATGCCAACAGATAAATGTGGAATAAATGGAAAACTGCTGATGCTGACTCAAGTCTTTCCTTTCACGTTAAATACTCAGAATGGTTTTTACC